TGTCTTACTATATAGGCCAGAACTTTAAAAAGAATGTCTGTAGGTCCTCCAGGATTCTTTCTTTGCCCTAAAATTTGATGTACCTTTAACCCTGTACTTTTTAAACTATCACCTGCAAAGTTGCTTCAAAATGGCATGCTTGGGAGTTTAGTCCCCAGTGGGAATAATTCTGATGCACATCCATTATTAGAAACTACATCTAGGATTCTTTCTTTTTTCTTTCTTTCTTTTTTTGGTCTTTTCTTTTCCTTTCTTTCCCCTCCCTCTCTTCCTTCCCTCCTGTATTCTTTCTTTTTTCCTTTTTCTCTCTGTCTCTATCTTTCACTCTCTCTTTGGTCTTGAACTCCCGAACTCAGAAAATCCACCTGCCTTGCCTTCCCAAAGTGCTGGGATTACAGATATAAGCCACCATGTCCAGCCTAGGATTTTTGTTAAAAAAATTTAACTAATAAAGACCCAGCAATTCTACTTCTAGGTATTTACCCAAAAGACTTGAAATCATTATGTCAAACAGATGTCTACACTCCCATGTTAACTGCAGCACTATTAAAAATACCAAGTATGGAATCAGCCTAAGTGTTCATCAACAGATAAACTGACATAAAAAATGCGGTATTACATATATATATATATATATATATATCACACACACACACACACACACACACACACACACACACACACACCCCAGAAAAGTATTCAGCCTTAAAAAGGGTAGAAATTCTGTCATTTGTGACAATCATGAATGGAATTAGAGAATATTATGCTAAGTGAAATTAGCCAAATACAGAAAGACAAATACCACATGCTCTCACTTACATGTGGAATCTAAAACAATCAAACTCATAGAAACAAAGAGTAGAATGGTGGTTACTAGAGGCTCTGGTTACCAGATACAGTTAGAAGATGGGAGAAATAATTTTTTTTAAAGATCTCATTGCACAACACAGTGAATATAACTAGTAACATTTCAAAATTGCTAACAGTAAATTTCAAATGTTCTCATCACCCAAAAAATGTAAAATATTTGTGGAAATTGATATATTAATTAGCTTGATACACATTAATTGATTTATTCATTTCACATGGTATTCAAAGATCGTAACATCATTCTGTGCCCAATATATACACCTATAATTTTTCAATAAATAAATATAAAGCTATCTTTGTTGACTATAAAGATTCCTTATAATGTTAAAAATACTTTATTTCTTTTTAAAAAAATTATTAATGGGCATTTAATTTTATAAAACCTTTTAAAGTTTCTATTTAAACTCCAAATAAGCTAATGGACTCTTGGAGTCAGAATTCCAGGTGCTTACCCCAGTTCCATCATTCAGTAATTATGTTACCTTGAGCAAAATAACCTTTCCATGCTTCAGTTTCTTCATCTAGGTAATATAACCCCAGAGAAACCTTAGAATTATTTTGATAACTAAATAAATTAAAATCTAAAAGCACTTATAACAGTGCCTACCTAACCCAAAGTAAGCAATCAATAAATGTTAGCTATTATTAAATCTGATGAATTGTTTTTTTAAAGATCAGTCAACTATACTTTATTTTATTCTAATACAGGGCTACAGATTCCCTCAATGTGCAATATTTATATATACTCTATAAGTACTAGGACTGCTTCATCTGGATACTCAAAGTTGACAGCTCATAATTTTAATATTACAGTTACGTTGTAGAGTTTTCATTCTTTTTTTAAAAAATTATACATTAAGTTCTGGGTACATGTGCAGAATGAGCAGGTTTGTTACATAGGTATACACATGCCATGGTGGTTTGCTGCACCCATCAACCTGTCATCTACATTAGGTATTTCTCCTTATGCTAGCCCTTCCCTTCCTTCCCTTGCCCCTCATCCCCTGACAGGCCCTGGTGTGTGATGTTCCCCTCCCTGTCTCCATGTGTTCTCATTGTTCAACTCCCACTATGAGTGAGAACATGCAGTCTTTGGTTTTCTGTTCTTGCATTAGTTTGCTGAGAATGATGCTTTCCAGCTTTATCCACATCCCTGCAAAGGACATGAAACCATCCTTTTTTTATGGCTGCATAGTATTCCATGGTGTAAATGTGCCACATTTTCTTTATCCAGTCTATCACTGATGGGCATTTGGGTTGGTTCCAAGTCTTTGCTATTGTGAACAGTACCGCACTGAACATACGTGTGCATGTGTCTTTATAGTAGAATGATTTATAATCCTTTGGGCATATACCCAGTAATGGGATTGCTGGATCATATGGTATTTCTTGAACTCCTGACCTCAGGTGATCCGCCTGCCTTGGCCTCCAAAGTGCTGGATTACAGGCGTGAGCCACTACACCTGGCCTTCAAATGGTATTTCTAGTTCTAGATCCTTGAGGAATTGCCATACTGTCTTCCACAATGGTTGAACTGATTTACACTCCCACCAAGATTGTAAAAACGTTCCTATTTCTCCACATCCTCTCCAGCATCTGTTGTTTCCTGACTTTTTAATGATTACCATCCTAACTGGAGGGAGATAGTATCTCACTGTGGCTTTGATTTGCATTTCTCTAATGATCAGTGATGATGAGCTTTTTTTTATGTTTGTTGGCTGCATAAATATCTTCTTTTGAGAAGTGTCTGTTCATATCCTTCATCCACTTTTTGATGGGGTTGTTTTTCTCTTGTAAATTTGTTTAAGTTCTTTGTAGAATCTGGGTATTAGCCCTTTGTCAGATGAACAGACTGCAAAAATATTCTCCCATTTTTTAGGTTGCCTGTTCACTCTGATGATAGTTTCTTTTGCTGTGCAGAAGCTGTTTACTTTAATTAGATCCCATTTGTCAATTTTGGCTTTTGTTGCCATTGCTTTTGGTGTTTTGGTCATGTAGACAGCGAGCCAAATCAGGAGTGAGCTGCCATTCACAATTGCTACAAGGAGAATAAAATAACCAGGAACACAACTTACAAGGGATATGAAGGACCTCTTCAAGAACTACAAACCACTGCTCAAGGAAATAAGAGAGGACACAAACAAATGGAAAAACATTCCATGCTCATGGATAGGAAGAATCAGTATCATGAATATGGCCAAACTACCCAAAGTAGTTTAAAGATTCAATGCGATCCTCATCAAGCTACCATTGACTTACTTCGCAGAATTAGAAAAAAACTACTTTAAATTTCATATGGAACCAAAAAAGAGCCCACATAGCCAAGACAATCCCAAGAAAAAAGAACAAGGCTGGAGGCATCAGGCTACCTGACTTTAAACTACAAGGTTACAGTAACCAAAACAGCATGGTACTAGTACCAAAACAGATACATAGACCAAAGAAACAGAACAGAGGCCTCAGAAATAACACCACACATCTACAACCATCTGATCTTTGACAAACATGACAAAAACAAGCAATGAGGAAAGGATTTCCTATTTAATAAATGGTGCTGGGAAAACTGGCTAACCATATGCAGAAAACTGAAATTGGACCCCTTCCTTACACCTTATACAAAAATTAACTCAAGATGGATTAAAGACTTAAATGTAAGACCTAAAACTGTAAAAACCCTAGAAGAAAACCTAGGCAATATCATTCAGGACATAGCCATGGCCAAAGATTTCATGGCTTAATATCTTTCTTAATACTGAAACACTTAGGAATTCTGAATAGAGAATATATCTCCATTTTAGTCCAGTAGATTTGGCCTAATCTAAATCTTATTATTCCTTCAATACTGTGATAAATTCTACCAGTTATTTTATTTATTTATTTTGAGATGGAGTTTCACTCTTGTTGCCCAGGCTGTAGTGCAATGGCACAATCTTGGCTCACCACAACCTCTGCCTCCCAGGTTTAAGCAATTCTCCTGCCTCAGCCTCCCAAGTAGCTAGGATTACAGGCATGTGCCACTATGCCCAGCTAATTTTGTATTTTTAGTAGAAACCAGTTTCTCCATGTTGGTCAGGCTGGTCTTGAACTCCTGACCTCAGGTGATCCGCCCACCTTGGCCTCTCAAAGTGCTGGGATTACAGGTGTGAGCCACCACACCTGGCCTACCAGTTAACACTATAAGGAACACTACTATATTCAAAAAGTGAAATTGAATGATAGCTTTTTTTTTTTTTGTTACCTTTGTTTCTTTGTATTTATCTTTTACTTGCTTACTTTTCAAAAACTGAGAATATTCTATAGTATACAGAAATTGTCTATTCCTCCAAAAAAGTTCTGATGAATTTACCAGCAAATGTATCAAACCCGGAAATTTTTTTTAAAAAAGTACTTCTTTGATAATATTCCCAAATTATCAGTATATTACATTTTATACATTATTTTTACTGCATATACATTAAAATAAACATTTGGAATGTTTAATGTATTTGGAAACTTCATTGACCTTTCTGAAATTTATTAGCAAAACTGTGTTAATATATGTCTCCTAATGTTTATATACTTATATTCCTTCTATGTGATTTAAATCTACTTTCTATGGTTAATTTTGTTTAATCAGATCTGGAAGAAGCTTATGTATTTTGCCTCTTTCATGAACCTTTTACTTTTTAGGTTTATTTATTAATCCCATCTTTTTTCCTATTTTCCTTTCTTAAAAAAATCTTTTTTAAATTTTTGTGAGTACACAGGTGTATATATTTATGGGGTATGAGAGATGTTTTGATACAGGCATGCAATGTGTAATAATCTATTTTTTTCTAGTTTCATATGATGAAATATTGCTTTTCTCCCCTCAAAATGAACATAGCTTTTTTATTTCCAATCACAAAAATATGCAAGACTCACTGTCAAAAAAAATTAAAATACGAGACTACAAAATAAAAGTCTACCCCATAATCTTGCTGCTTCCCTACAGGAAGAAAACCCCTGATCATTATGAAAAATTTGGTATACAACTATAGGGACTCATAAGCATACATAAATCTGTGTGTGTGTGTGTGTGTGTGTGCGCGCGCGCGCATGTAAATACAATTATTTTGCAATCTGCTTTTTCATTAAGATTTTAAGTTTTCAGTTTTGCGCAGTGGCAGTATCGTAGCCAATGAGGTTTATCCAAGGCACGATTATTGCCAACTGAAAACTTTTCCCAATACCCTGCCATGGCGACTTGAAATATAGTCGTCACTGGCAATTTTTGACAGTCTCTATGGAGACTGGGAAAAAAAAGATTTTAAGTTTTGAGGACATGCTTTCATTTCAACATATACATAAATTCTCTAATCCACTTCAACATCTGCAAAGTATCCACTACACATATACAATTTTAATTTTATCCTTAATATATTTTTCCTCCTACTTCCATATTTCTTAGATTTTATACTAAATTCTTGGTTCTTCATCTTTTTAAATGATAAAAGCATGCAGTGTTTCTTTCTTTTGGCTTCTCATTAATGCCTTATTCTCATAATCTATTTTTTTTAATGTCATTTTAAAAATCTTTGTTTTGGCATACTCACAGTAATAACTTTTAAAGTTTCTGCTATTTTGAATTAGATATATTTATGATCAAGTATATATATATATGAAGCTTTATAAATATTGCAGACACCTGAAAAATAACTGGGCCAGGTGTAGTAGCTCCGGTCTGTCAACCAGTGCTTTGGATGGCTGAGGCAGAAGGATCACTTGAGGACAGGAGTTTGAGACCAGCCCAGGCAACATACTGAGACCCTGTCTCTACAAAAAATAACTTTAAAAAATCAGCCAGGCATGGTGGTTGAGTGCCCATAGTCCTAGCTTCTCAGGAGGGTAAAGTGGGAAGGACTGCTTGGGCCCCACAGTTCAAGGTTACAGTGAAAAATGACTGTGTACCACTGCATTCCAGCCAGAGTGACAGAAAAATAAAAGTAATCATAAACTGTATCCTCTAATATTTATAAGATACAAAATTTAAGAAATACATGTTAATGTAACACATTATGTATTAAGTTTTTTTTCCTGTTTGTTTTACCATTGGTTACTGCTATTTATCCATGTCATTTTAGTTTTCCAAAAGAAAAAAAATTTGTTTCTATTTTAGATTTTCATTATCAATGTTTATTTTTTCTAACATTTCACTTATTTATTACACATTCTGTGACTGCTTCTCAAGTATGTCCTCTGTTCTAGTAATTTGATTTTCTACAATACTATTTGCCACTTCTGATGAAGACAATTTTGGCTACTGCATCCCTGTTTGCTGGAATGCAAACAGAAACAGATCCTCTAGAGAAATTCATTCTCAATTCCTAAACCACTGAGAAAGGTTATTATGTCTAACAGAATTTGGAATGTTTTAACAGATGATGTTCTAATACAAAACAATCATATTTTTAGAATCTGTTGCTTTTTCTCACTTGTTCCAATTTTTTTTTTTGAACAGAATTCTCAAATCCAGCTGTACATTAAAATAACTTGGAGAACTAAAACCACACCCTACTAACAACCAATCCCACTAATTGTGAGATCCATATATGGTATTTCTTAAAGATTTTCCAGGTTGGCCAGGTGCAGTGGCTCATACCTGTAATCCCAGCACTTTGGGAAGCCAAGGCAGGTGGATCGCTTAAGCCCAGGAGTTAGAGACCAGCCTGGGCAATGTGTTGAAACTCTGTCCCTACTAAAAATAAAAAAACTGGCTGGTCAGGGTGGCGTACACCTGTAGTCCAGCATACTCAGGGGGCTGACACAGAAGGATCACCTGAGCCTTTGGAGGTTGAGACTGCAATGAGCTGTGACTGGACCACTGCACTCTAGTATGGGCGACAAAGACCCTATCTCAAAAAAAGAAAAAAAAAAAAAAAAAAAGCCTCTTTTTAAAATTTAAAAATACTGTTTTCCAAGAGATTCTAAATAAGCAGCCATATTTGCAAATTCCCATTCTAGACTGCTAAGATGAAATGCCTAAACAAAAGATCTAAAAGAAAAAAAGGCCAGGTGTGGTAATCCTAGCACTTCGGGAAGCTAAGGTGGGCAGATCACTTGAGGAGTTTGACACCAGCCTGGCCAAGATGAGGGTGAAACCCCTATCTCTACTAAAAACATAAAAAAATTAGCTGGGCGGCCGGGCGCGGTGGCTCAAGCCTGTAATCCCAGCACTTTGGGAGGCTGAGGCGGGTGGATCACGAGGTCAAGAGATCGAGACCATCCTGGTCAACATGGTGAAACCCCGTCTCTACTAAAAATACAAAAAAATTAGCTGGGCATGGTGGTGCGTGCCTGTAATCCCAGCTACTCAGGAGGCTGAGGCAGGAGAATTGCCTGAACCCAGGAGGCGGAGGTTGCGGTGAGCCGAGATCGTGCCATTGCACTCCAGCCTGGGTAACAAGAGCGAAACTCCGTCTCAAAAAAAAAAAAAAAAAAAAAAAAATTAGCTGGGCGTCGTAGCATGCACCTGTAATATCAGCTACTCAGGAGGCTGAGGCAGGAGAATCACTTGAATCCAGGAGGCGGAGGTTGCAGTGAGCTGAGATTGCACCACCGCACTCCAGCCTGGGCAACGGAGTGAGACTCCATCTCAATAAATAAATAAATGAATAAAATAAAAGAAAAAGAAAATGCAAATTAATTAGTCTTGGTAGAGACTGCTAGCTTAGCACATTATCTACTTTTACTCTATGCCAAAATTCCAATAAAAGGTCAGTGAAGATTTTTCTTTGTTTGTTTTTTTTTTTTGTCTTTGTGTTGTAAAAGAAAAAAACCAATAGTATGAGGAGAAAGGGACAGGAGAGCAACAAAAAGTGTAGAAACTGGAAAGCAAATATACGAGTGGTAACAAAGTTACCAAAGAAAAACATGGCATAAACTAGTAGTGAAGCTGAGTGAAACAGGAGCACCGATCTAATTTATAATGCAAAATACCTCTACAAGTGGGGTTAAAAGAAGACAGCTAAAATAAGGGGAATTTCTTAAAAACCTGCTTATGAAGTAACCAGATCCCCCAGGTCAATTTATCCTCTAGGCAGCTGGGCAACTGCCCTTCCTTCATCCTGCGAAAGTCAGATAGAAGTGCTCAAAAAGAGAAATTCAAAACTAGAACTGGGTCCATGGACTTTGAGGGCATACTCAGGTCTAAAAAATGTCCGGGCACAGTGTCTCACACCTGTAATCCCAGCACTTTGGGAGGCCAACGTGGGCGGATCATGAGGTCAAGAGTTTGAGACCAGCCTGGCCAACACAGTAAAATCCCATCTCTACTAAACATACAAAATTTAGCCAGGCATGGTGGCACATGCCTGTAGTTCCAGCTACTAGGGAGGGTGAGGCAGGAGAATCAGTTGAACCTGGGAGACAGAGGTTGCAGTGAGCTGATGTTGCGCCACTGTATTCCAGCTTGGGTGATGGAACAAGACTTCGTCTCAAAAAATAAATAAATAAATAATGAACAGACATGCTAACATGACCAAGTATCAGAGGAAAGCCTTTAACGTGGAATAATAGATACCAAAATGACGAAAGAAAGAAAGAAGAAAGAGAGAGAGAGAGAGAGAGAGAGAGAGAGAGAGAGAGA